TCACGCTTTTAGTGATCGTTTTCCACATGCCTTATTCGGTCCATTTGTGCTACGTGAACTGAGGAGACTGAAGTGTGGCCTGTCATTCCATTCGACATCGGAATCACCACATTTAGTGCATGGTTGGCAGTGGAGATTCCCCTCAGACACGACTAAAGAAAGAGTTTTTCTCCACCAGCTCTTACGGGTCCAGGTTAGACGAGAATTCCCGGCTTAAGAAAACGGATGAACCTTAATTCATTCTTTTCCACTTTACACCGAGGAGTCAGGAAGATAGGTAGCTGGATTGCTACCCGTTTGACTTCGTACCAGATCGCAATTTCGTCACTTATCGCGGACAGTCTGTTGAAAATGACTTTGTAGTTGTGTTCGACAACGTTATCCTCGGAAATCGTACTAGGAAACAGTAGAAGACAAATCAGTAGTAACTTCCCTCAAACCTCTGAATGCACATTCATGGACGGCGTATCTCATGGAAATTTTAGGTCTTACCGACTGTTCATCATTTATGTGACCGTTCAGATAACTTTTTCAATGTGCTCCAAGATGCCTAGGCATGAACCCACTATTGGACGATCAGTAGTGAGTAGTAATCAACCTGCTAGGAGTGTTAGTACTCTAGTTGTGACGTAATTAAGTTTATTGTCAGAAGATAACAAGTACTAACAAATATCCGTCTTACTAGAATGTGGTAAATACAATAGTTGATAGAAATAGATACAAGCGAAAAGTGGAATAAGCCGAAAAAGTGAATTATCGTTTGAGGAGATTTGTTGAGAGTTCCTGAGTGAAGTTCCGGACGCGTGAGCTGTCTTCTCTTCAGTATAGCTGCTACACGTGTTCCGCAGTTGTCCGTGGAGAAATGCGGAGCTATGTTGACTTCCTGTTCTGTGCGCGCGAGTGTGTGTGCTGAGCCAAGTTGTATGCCTATTTATTGTGTACAATGTGAACAGAGTGGTGTCCCTTCGTGTTTCATGCTTGCACGAGCATGAGTACCTGATATGTTGAGGTTCATAAGCCTGGCGCGTTAAGCAAGTGTCACGTGGTACGAGTGCTTGTAACGCATGGTCTGATGAGTGACCTCTACAGAAGCCCTGCAATCAACGCGAGGGCGATAAAGAGTCCTAGACTTGTGTTTCGGATTGATACATTTAGTGTCCATTTTGTGCCTCATATTCGAGACGAAAACCTGTCCCACACACACACATTATGAGCAGATCAGTTACTAGCTTTCTAAACCAACTTGGGCAGTCCTCATAAACGAACGGCATAGGGAATTAGTTAGACAGAAACACACGTAAGCATCAAAGGTATGATTAGACCTCAAATTCGTTTTTAGAGATGATTGCTCATAATCGAGAAAACCGTGAAAGTATTCCAAATACCGTTTTGGGAGAAGCATTTGTCCAGTCTCTGGTCAACTTCTCATGACCTATACGTATTTGCCGCAAACAACAATTCGCACAAAATTGTGCGTCTGGCGTTGAAAATATACACGATACTGTAAACGAGGCAGATTACTTTTGTTATCCTTGTGCCGTTGAAGGTCTTTCATCTCCACCCCATTCCCGTCTTACAACTTGGTTACGCAGCGACATCCAATGGAACCAAGTTGCACTTGGTTAGAACCAGCCGACAATCGTGGGGAGAATTATCGTTCTTGCTCTGTGTGCATTCGGCTGCTTGAAGGACACAAGCAGC